ATTGTTCATCATTTTCATCAACAACCATATCATCACTTCATATTCACTGAATATTTCATCACTACTTCGGTGTTCACGTAAAAAAATTATGTAATACAACGCAAACAACTACTATAGAGGGTATTTTGTAAAAGATAAAAGTTTGGTGTAAAATTTCAATTTTCAAAAGATCCCAAATAATGAGATTTGGCTCAAATACTAGAAAAAACTAGTATTTGGGAATTTGGGATATTTGCCAAATAATGACAAATTGTATGGACAAACACTATTTGCCAAATTTTTCCGCAAATATTATTTGGGAAATCTATGGCCAAACGGGCAATAAGAGTTTGTTTGATATGAAGGAAAATAATTTCCTAAAAAAGTTCTCTACAAAATTGTGTTTGTTACTTATTTTTTAGTATTGATAAGTAAGTAAGAAAATATTATTCTAAAAGCTTTTATATGTTATCAGGCAAAATGTTATGAAGACTAATAGAAACAGGGAAGTGGGGGTTCAGGGATAGTTCGGGATGAGATGATCAAGAGGTGAGGGTTGGATTAGGTGGAGAGAAAACAAAAAGTGATATATAAATCATTCAAATCATATTCATTAAAATAATATAATATAATACAATATATCGCAAATGATGTAACAACCATTCAAACAAAAATGGGCCCTTTACAAGCTCTATAATGTATCTCCCTGCATCACATGCTTGTTTTACTCGAAGATTTTTATTCATGCCTTACTTGTCAAGTATGATAAACACCAATTTTGTTATATTCAGAACTATTAAAGACTTTAACGATATTTATATAAAATATATAGTATGACATTTCTTTCTAACTTCTTGAAATCTCCTCTCTTCCTCTAGATCCGACTCATCTACATCCCACAATTCCCGAACTCAAACAAGATCTTCATATTGATACTCAAAAACTCACACTTCTCGCCATTGAAAACAAATATGAGTAGTTATGAAGAAGAGGAAATAGAATTCAATATCTTCTCGTATTTCACCCCTCACATGCTAATCTCTCAATCGCCTAGTCAAAGATCGAACGCAAGCTATAACACAATGTAGTTAAAACAAAACACCACTTGATTAAAAACGAACCGACAACAACAATAACAATAACACATCTAGCGTAGTTTCATAAGTAGTACAAAAATAAACAGATTCCACAACAAAATAACCTTATTCGAATAACCATACGAGAAATCAACCTCTAAACTCCGTCACTAATCATCTTGTGATATGAGCAATGAAAGAATCCATCTGCTTCTTTTGTGATCCACCATCTCCAACGGACATCTTAATAGCTTTGCTCAACTCTATCGCTCTCTTCCTCATCTCTTCCCCTTCCGCGGAATCCATCAATGTTCTCACACCAGTTTCAATTTTATCACATTTGATCAATTCATCTTTGTTTACCCAATCCCTCACCACTAAACCAACTTTCAACACCTTTGTAATAAGCACATCATTGTACGGATTATCCGAATTCAATGGCCAAGTTGCCATTGGCACTCCCATTGTTACACTCTCAAGAAAAGAGTTCCATCCCGAATGAAAAAAGTAACCACCTGTAGAAGGATGAGCTAGAATTTCCGTCTGAGGTACCCATTCTCTCGCGATGATTCCTCTGTTTTCTACTCTTTCTTCGAATCCATTTGGTAGCTCAATCTTCCCAGTAATATCTCCAACATTTTCCCCTTTTTTATCTTTTCCTCGTAAAACCCAGATGAATTTCTTCTCTGATCTCTCTAAACCAATTGCAATCTCATGAATTTGTTCGATTGAGAAACTGTTTGCAGTTCCAAACGAAACGAATATAACAGAATTGACAGGTTGTTTATCAAGCCATTCAATACATCTGTGAGTTTTATCAGAGTTTTGGACGATGTTGATAGGATTAAACGGACCAAGCCCCCAAAATGGGGTAGCACTCTGTTTACAGAGTTCGTCAAGATAAGGACCTTCAACTTCTCTACAAGTATTCAAAATTTCTCCACATTTGAACTTACAATCTCTCAGCATTTTCGTCAATTCCCCCATTCCAGGCTTGAAACAGCTCTCAATAGAGGGAATATAAGCTTGCAAACTTGTAAACAATGCATCATCATTGCAATTCTCTTTAATTTGTTGGAGCATTGAGTAAGTAGTGAAAGCAGATACAGCATGAAAAAAGTATGCTTCAACGTGTGATATTGTATACACAGATTCAACAACAAACTGCATTATAGCGTCATGAATAACGACTACTCTTTTATCATTATTGCTATGACAAATAGCGGAAAGAGGCTCTGTAATTTGTAACAAGGATTCCAAGTAAGGCATATAGTTTTCTTCGTCATTTTCTTTTGACGTTATTGAAAGATCATGGAATTGTATGTTGGGAAATTCTTCTTCTTGTTGTTGTTGTCGTTGTTTCAGTTCTTGATTTCGTGCTCCAACACTCATATAATGGACTGGTATATTGTAGGAAGAGATAAGTTGAGAGAGACGAAGAAGAGGGATTTGGTGTCCATATTCAGGGAAGGGCACCATAACTACTACAACATTAGAGTTGGAGTTGGATGCCATTGGAAATGTGTGTGTGTTGCTTTACAATTTCTGAAATGATGAAGGATGATAGTAGTAGTAGCTTACTTACTATATACTCCCTCTAGTCCAAGTACTGACGAAATGGTTCTGGTGGAGTGGTAAGTACTCGTTCATTCCTAACTAGAGGTCACAAGTTCGAGTTTTTTCAAGTATGGAGTCGTTTTTGTTAGAAAGTGTTTTACTCTCTTTTTTTAGTCGGGTTCCAATGTAGATATTGGACACAGAGTGGAATACCAAAAAAAAAGAAGGGTTGCGGTAAAGTGATAAATACTCTTTCATCCTTAATCATTAATTAGAGGTTATCGATTCGAGTTCCCTTATGTATGGAGTTGTCTTTGTTAGGGAGCGATTTACTCTCAATGTGGAACTTCCTGGACATTGGGTTGGAAAAAAAAAGAAGTGAAGTGTAAGTACTGAATTGTTGAGACATTTTTATTGTTCAAAATAGGCATATTACATAAATGTGTTTTCTCGAACTTTATGTATGCACAAGTAGACAGTTAAACTTAAACAAGTAGACTTAGTTCAAAAACAATTTGTTCGTAACTTCTTATTACCTTTTTTATTCTTTAACAACTTTTCTTAAACATAGAGATAATCGTTGTTTATGATCTAAAAATAATTTTAAAAAATCAATAAAATAAAAGGTAATTCATATAAAAAAAATTCTTGATTTTTGAATAATTTATTATATTGGACCGTTAAAAAAAATGTCATATTTTTTTAATATTAGACTAGGAGTATTAATCTTCAATCTCAATGCACATATAGAAGTTCTAAAATTATATTTTTTTTGATTAAAAATAGACATGCAAACTGCACCGAACTGCATCTGACATTACAATTAAAATGGGTGTACATATATTAATGGTTAATACATAGTTAACTCTTTTAAGTGGGACATTTCAATTAGATATTTGAACTAAGTCAACTTTAATTAAATATTTTCAAAATAATAATAATAATAAAACACCAAAATTTTCATTGATAGAAAAGCAGACATATCGTCCAACACCTACTCTTTTTAATCACTTATATATAATAGTAATAATTAATTGATCATGTTGTTAACAATATGAAAATAGCTTTTTACTTCTTATTAATTTTAATTTATGTTACATCATTTGAATCTCGAGACTGCGATATCAATCAATGCTTAGTAATTTCAACTACACGTGATCGTCTGTAAAGATTCTCACAAAAGGACCATTTTTCATAAGGAGTATTTATTTCTAACGTTCTGTGAGATTTTATTTATGGGGGGCTAGAATTAATTAAAAACGTGTGTACATTTTCAAAGCAAATTATCAGGTGGACCCCCAAAATTTTAAAAATTCATCAATTCCTTCGAGGTTGTATCAGAATAGTATTTCTTTCATTTTTTATCAGATTCAAGTTTCTCTACACATGAAGTCATTTTTATTTGATAACGTTTTACCTTAACTTTTCGATGTAAATATGAATTTAATTAAGGTGAGTTTTGAAAACTGAATGGAAAATCAAGAAAATAATTAAAAATATTGACATTTATAATGTTTGCATTAGTTATATTAAGTATATGATATTTGATTTGATGTTTTAAAATAATTAATAAATTATACTTTAAGTTTTGAAATTTTTTAATGAGCATTGAAATAATTAAAACGATAATTGAAATAGAACGGGAAGTCGGTTTCAAAGTAAAACCAACAACCCACCAACAATAAATAAAGGAGCAATCAATATAAACATGAAGACAAGATTTGAGGGACCTAGGCATCACTATTAATAAGTCTGACAAATGGTACATTCTAGATTTTAAAATAAGTGGTATTTTTAATTTAAGATAAAAAAATTATTTATATATTTTTTGGATTTGTTCATACTATTAAAAATATTTATTTTGAATTATTTATTAATTTATGAAATCAAAATAGAATTAATTAGTTTATCTCATGCCCTTAAATTAGTTTTTTTTTAAAAATTCTATTCTTAATCTTGATATTAATGGATAAAACACATTAATAAAAGGTGTTGAAAATAATTAAATGGTAAAATAGCAAACATATTCTTTTTATTTATCAATTTTTAAGAGTGCATAAATAAAATAAAAAATGAATAGGTAATATGAGATAGAGAAAAGAGGTGATGATAACCCAATAAAAGTATATACATATAAAGAAAAAAGAAAAAAGAAAATTTCACCAACCCTCTATTTACTAACCATTAATAGCCATAAATTTTTTTGCATTTTGATATGCTTTCTCTAAGTACATTCTAAATCTATTTAAATCCAAATTTATATTTTGTTCTCTAAGATAAATATCCATAATCTCTTGAGACCAACCTTTTTCTTGAAGAGCCTTTGGATTTTTCAACACCAAATTATCTCCTTTTCCAAATTTTTCCATTAAGCTACTTTCTTCAACTTCAATTTTGTATTCCTCATAAACCAACTTCATTTCCCTGGCTAATTTTCCAAAACAAATATCAGATACACCTTCTGCTCCAATTGGAACAATTTGTATGAATATTGAAGTAGGTCGTAAAAATAATGCATGTGTTAGCGCTGCTCCATGCACTCCAATCATTGCATGGCTTGAATGAATCAATCCAAATGACTCATGCAATGATGTTGTTTTGCTCGGCTCGAATAAAATCACCTCAAAACCTATATGTTCTGCGACCAATCTTAATTCATCCTGGTTCACTATCAGACGTCCTATACTACCACCGCGACTTGCTAGGACAAGTCGAGGCCTATGTTGAGACTGAGGTTGAAGCTGAAGTTGAAGCTGAGACTGACCCTGACCCTGACCCTGATCCTGACCCTGAACGGTGCCATATGTGGTGGCTAGAAATTTATGAAAATCTATTAGGGTTTTTGAGGTTGGTGTTAATTTTGGGTCAATGTTCATGAAACCATGTGACATAAGTCCAATTGTGACTTTAGGGAAACAATGTGTGACATTAATCTCCTTGTCAATATCAATAATTGGGTGTTTACTAAAACTTTGTAGTAAATCTTTGTACTTGTGGACCCACCAATCTTCTAATTTGGAGATTACTAAGATGAAATCTTGATTAGGAAACAAAGAATTAACAGTAATAAAAAGGGGAATAAATCCATCATTGATATCATGGAAGAAATTACCAGTGTACCCTCCCAAACTGAATACAAGTGCTTGGGCTTTATGATGGATCAAGCAATTTGGGCCTAGTGGGCCTTTAGTAAGAGTGAATTCTTTGATTTGGTCCATTGTGAAATTCTCCCATTTTCTTGGATAGGGCTTGATCTTTTCAACTATGATATTTGTCTCATTATTATTGGTTGAGCCCATGTCATAAAATGTTGACTGAAATGGGTCAAAAATTGTTGGCCCATTGATTGAGCAAATATCATAGGAATAATGAGACCTATTGCAATTGATTATTGACTTTGATTTTTCTACTGAAAAAACAAAAACAAAAGAAAGATTGTTAGAAATATTAACAATGCATGAGTAACACGAGTTTTATATGTCTATACACTTGAATCCGATACAAAAAAAGAATCTAATATTTACTTACGCAAAATCCAGACAAAGTTTATAACTTCAAATATAATTTTTTATAATTTTAGTTGTGTCTGATCGGAAGTTGTTTATGCCCAAGCAAAACTTTTATATATATATATATATATATATATATATATATATATATATATATATATATATATATATATATATATATATATATATATATATATATATATATATATATATATATATATATATATATATATATATATATATATATATATATATATATATATATATATATATATATATATATATATATATATATATATATATATATATATATATATATATATATATATATATATATATATATATATATATATATATATATATATATATATATATATATATATATATATATATATATATATATATATATATATATATATATATATATATATATATATATATATATATATATATATATATATATATATATATATATATATATATATATATATATATATATATATATATATATATATATATATATATATATATATATATATATATATATATATATATATATAAAGTCTCAAAATCGACTATTTGTACACTTCCTCCAACATTTCCTTCTTTATTGAATTTTTGTGACGTAAATCTAAAATAATTAGGTCAACATATATCGGCTAAAAGAAATAAGTGTCCCGAAAAAAGTCCATACAAAAAAAAAGTATTCTAATTTTCCGTAACGGATGCATGATGATTGAAGAAATCACGGAAAATAAAATTTGGTTGGGACGTTAGCAAAATGACAAGTGTAATTTATTTACTCTTAAAACTATATTCAAATATATTATTTACACCGTTTGAACATGCAAGTCCAAATAATTTTATTTTATTCTTTTAAAAAAAAAAAGGCACTTGCTCGAACTTAAAAACTGAAAATAAACACATTAAACCTGAGGAGCTCATGAATAACGAGGTTTGAAAGACCGAGAATATATCAGAAACGACCTGTTTAACACATAATGGTAAGTGTAAGATTTGTTTTTGTATATTCCTTTTTGAGATCCCACTTATGAAATTGTGTTGGATATGTTATTGTTATTGTTGTTGTTATTGCGGAACATTTCTCTTAGCTTTTCCAACAAATAAGAGCATTATGTAAATATTTACATACTATATTATTGTATAACTAACATGATTAAATATTTTTATAACTTAATATCGTCAATAAATGCATGAATACATAGAACATAAACTCTTTAAAGAGATAGAAGCAACATACCTTCATGGTTATAATTATGACGACTTATTGCATGAGGAGTTGAAATAATAAAAGAATTATGAGGTCTCGAGTTGAAGAAAACTTGATTTTGCCTCAACAATATAATCATCAAGACGAAGAGCATAAGTCCCATCAACGCCGTTGTTGAATTTGAAGCTCTTTTCTTCATTACATTAATCTTCATTATT